AAAACAAAAACAATTCGATCATGGATTACAAAAAAATCGAATCAAGTATTACAAAAAAATCTAATCATGGATTACAAAAAAAAAAAAAAAAAAATTCCGTACGGGACTCGCCGATTCACTGTTCGGACTCGCCGATTCCGTACAGTGAATCGGAGATTCACTGTACAGAATCGTCCGGTTCTCTCTAGAACCGGACGATTTCCGATTTTTTAGGCTATCCGGTCCCCTTTTCACGATTTCCGAGTCGAACAGGGCGAGTCCGGTTCGACTCGGCGTTTTTTAAAACACTGGTATTATCTGAAATTCTATTTTCATACTTAATTAGAGAAATTTAAATTTTAAAAATGGTTAAAATCAAGTAGATATATAAATATATGAAAAGCTTGAAAATGAACAGTCTAGATAATGTGTTGCAAGATGCACTATTTTCAGGACTCAAAAACTCTATTTTTTTTTCATATTCATACATCTCAATGTCGAGATGATCGATTCGACGTTTTGTCAACATTAAAACAACATTTCCGATAGATTTTTTGAGGTGCATATGTGATTCTACATTTTAAGGTTGCAACCTTATATAAACTTTTCCCAAATTTAAAGCTTCAAATATCGTGAAAATTGATGAGGTTTACAACCCTTCAAAATTGACGAGGTTTAGAGGGTTACCACCCCTAAAATGGATGGTTTGTAAGATATTCTTTTATAGTATGTAAGTTTTTTTTTTTGGGTGTGGTCTGTATAGAGCCGCGCCTCTAAACAATCAAAGTAGACTTTCAAATAGTAGCGAGAAATGTAGTTTCAATACTGAAAATCTTTATGATAGCTTTAAAATATACTTTTATATCTACTTATAAAATTAAAGCTTAAAAAATAGTATAGATCAAATAGATCTATGAAAACTTGAAAATCTTGAAAATTGACGGTCCAAAAATGCATTACAAGATACACTATTTTTAAAACTTAAAATCCATTTTTTTTTCTCATGTCTATGCATCTTGATGCCGAGATAATCAATTTGAGGCTATTTGGGCATCAAGTGAACCTCGTCTAGTGAAATTTATGAGGTACGCTCTTATTTGATTGTTGAGAGCCTCGGCTCTATATAAACTTTTTCCTATTTTTTTAGAACCCAAAATCTTTTTTGAGATGGTCAGTTGGAGGATTTTCCCGCATTAAAACAACCTTTTTGAGTAATTTTTTATGTGCACCTCCCTTTTATATATTATAAAGTTTATTCTCTATATAAATATTTTCCTTAAAATTTGAGTAAGGTGTATATAATGCATCAACCTTCAAATGTCAACTTCAAAGAAATCAAATTAAGACCTGCCTCTAAACCTTGAGTAAATATGCAGGTTTGGTGCCAGAAACCCCAATAATAGCCTACCTATAGGTACTTTAAAACCTTGAAAATGAATAGTTCAGATAATAGATTACAAGATCCACTAATTTTTTTACTTGAAAACATTTTTTTTATATCCAAAATCTTAGCGTTAGGATGATCAATTGAAAATAAATAATCCATGTAATAGATTACAAGATCCACTAATTTTTTGACTTGAAAACTTTTTTTGTATATCCAAAGTCTTAATGTTAGGATTGATCAATTTGAGGGTTTTCTAGTATCAAATCAAATTTTTTTGTGAATTTTTTTTATGTTTGTACTGCTTTTAAGAGAGGCTGACGCTTCTTTTTTCAATATTTTTTTTTTGGAATGGTTACAAGGTTGATACCTTGTATGTACTTTTTTATTTAAACTTTCATCTAACTAATGTACGTTTTTTAAAATAAACAAATCATCCCTTTTCAGGAAAATTATGGTAATTCAGCCTCACTTGAGCAGCATTATCAAATGAGCAATGAGAATTTGATTACCACGATATCATAGTAACATCAAAAAAAGTGAGTTAGCAAACAAGAAACCTTTTTTCTCTTTAGGAAAAATCCAAAAAAATATATTTCACTCCAATTAATTAAGTTTAAAGCTCAAAAAATTGATACACATCAAATGAATATGTAAAATTGTAAACACTCAAAAACCTTTAAAATAGTTGGTCCAAATAATATATAGAGAAAATTACATAAAAATCCGTTATACTTTCCATTATTACTGATATACCAAATAGTTTATATTATTACAGTTGTGTCCAAATTTTGTCTTTTGTAAAGCTATTTTTAAAAAATACAATTTTACCCTTTTTCGGATGTTGAACATCCAAATTTGTGGTTTTTTCGGTTATTCAACATCCGAAAATGGGCGCAAGTTAAAACATTCAATTTGGTATTTTCAGATGTTCAACATCCGAATTTATAGTATTTTCGGATGTTGAACATCCGAAAATAGCCAGAGAGATAAAAATTTCATATATTTTACTTTCAGTTGTTGAACAACCGAAAATATGTTGAATTTGGTTGTTCAACAATTGAAATTGTTTGTGCTAAACTTTCCCGCTCATGGCGAAAAGTTTATTCATTTATTTTTATAAAGTTGGGGAAAACGGACAAATACAGAATCTTTCGCGCATCATACCCCTTATACTGTCCCCTAATAAGTATATTTCGCGCATCATACCCCTTGTACTGTCCCCTAATATAGTAACCCACAAAGTTGAAGAGATTGACTCCCTATTTTGAGGTGATTGGTACCTTTCATACTCTTGCCTTATACCTTTGATTAATTTATTTTTATTTTCAGATATTTTATAGGATATTGTATTTTGTCATTAATATTTGTTGTGTATTGTTGATTAATAAATAAAATTTGTTTAATATTGATGAAGTTGTTTATTTTATATAATTATTTGTTGTTTGTATTATGTTGATATATTGTATTCCTTGATTTGGCTAAATATTGTTCAACTTTATTGTTTGTATTAAAATTTGTTGTTTATTTTGTGTTTATTTGAGTATTTGTTGTTTTCTTTTATTTATTGTTTACTAGTCACATTTTTAGTAGTACACTATTTCAATCTATTATGTAATACTCATAGTTTATGAACCCTAAAGTAGTTAGAAATATCCAAATTTTTAGTATTTCTTATTGTATTGATTTTTTGTAACACAAGTTTTGTTATTCATTTAATACAGTAGCATTGACGATGGCTACCGAGGGAGTGCAACTGGTATTCCAATATGGGGGGTCATTTGAGACGAATGCAGATGACGAACGTGTTATTTATAAAAGTGAAAAATTGAAGGTCATCAAGTATAATGGAAATAGTTCCTTGGAAGAACTAAAAAGTCATTTTGGTAATTTAACTAAGTGTGATCCAAATAAATTAGCTATTATGTACCACAACACAGGTCTATCTAGTGGGCTTGAGTTGATTGATGTAAGTGATAGATATATCTTTTATTTAAGAGGGGAAT